CCCAGGAGCCATAGGACGAGGCTGTTCCCCACCAGCCCAACCCCCGGCTATTACCAGAATGAGGATCTCCATCCAGTCACCCCCCGAGATTCTATAGATATCACAAGAACTACCCTGTCTTTTTCACTTCTCTCCTTTGCGTTGTCATGACCATATTCCCGCTGCCCATGTGTGGGGGACACAGCCACGTTGGTTGGTGCCAGTCCCAGGAAGTCCGGCTCCTTTCAGACGCCCTGGGAACACGAAGACAAGGGACTTCAGGAACTTTTCTAGAGATTTACTCCGGTCTCTATCTTCAAGAGTCAAAGCTTCCTATTTCACTCTCTTTGTCAGCTAGGCGGCGCCACAGTGCACAGAAGTGTGGACCTAGTCCTAGTGTAAGAAATGAGTCAAAATCTAGTCTCAGACACTTAACTAGTAAGAGAAATTGCTTCACTCCCATTAATAACCAATTATTCAAAGAGGATTAAGGCTTCCCCTTCCTATCTCCTCATTCAGAAACCCATTTCCTGTAGGTTGTCAGCCTCTGAAGGCAATTAGGGTTAAGAGAATCTCACCTAGCTGTCATTCTTACCTCACCATTGTTCGTTGTTCATTGACTGGGTAGAGATGGATGCCTTTGTCCAGATACTGAGGCTGCTGAACCTCATCACACCCTCAGCAGGTGGAGCTGAAAGCTTTTGGCCCATCTCTGTGTCCACCCCCTCGTTGACAATGTTATCCAATCAGAGTTGATTTCCACCCTCAGGCACACCTCTCTTTGCAAAGACTTTTGAAACACTCAATACTCTCCAGGCGGCATCTTTGGCTTCTAGGCAGGGCGGTGACCTCAATCTATGATTTGCTAGCCATAGTTAACAAATCAGTTATTAATTACCCAGAAATTATGTCTCTCGAACTTTTCATTAGTCACATTAGCTGTGTGTACCTGGACAAGTAACTTAGCATCTCTCTCCCTCAGGTTCCTCAACTGTAAAATGAGGCCAATAATAGCATCAACCTCACAGGGTTCTACAGAGGATCAAATGAAGTAACATTTGCAAAGTGTTTAACACTCTGCCTGGCACATAGTAGGCCTTTAAAAAAAGCCTGTTTCATTTCCCTTTTTCTCCCTTTCTCCTGTCATGATGTGACAGTGAGGTATAGAAATGAGTCTTCTGGAGAAGATCAGGGGCACACCTGTCTCTCCTTTCTTCTCTAACCACATGTATGTGCTGGTCATCACCTTTAACTCACCCTTCATTCTTCTCTCTCTTCTGCTTTTTCTCTAGTATGTGGGGGTTTCTTCTACAACCTATGCTAACAGGCCTAAGGGTAGGCTGAACCACTTAATTCAATGCAACAGAGATTTATTTATTAATTTAATGTATGTAATCATGAATTTATTTGTTTGTTTACTCTTATTAATTCATAAATTTGTTCATCCATTTATTTCTTAATATTTTGAAATTTCTATTAACTTTTCCATTTACATAATTTTTATTGTTCTATATATTGTCTTCCAAGCAGAGTCTTTTCTTTTAAATCAAAGAATTAAAAAAAGAAAAGAAAAAATATTTCAGCACAACTAACCATCATATGAACTAAGTCCAGCAGTATACTATATAGTTTTCCACATCCACAGACCTGTGAAAAGGGGGAAGGAAATGCAGTTATCTCTTTATTGGTTTTCTGTACCAAATGGCAATAAACACTTGCTCATTACATACTGTTTTGATATACTGGGCCCAGGATAACTTTCACCACTGAGCTTGGTGCTGGAAATATAAGGACAATGAAACTGCCCCTACCCTGAGGTAGCTGATATTCTACTGAGAGTGGGCAGAGGGGAGGAGGTTACAGCATCAGGTCCTCACCTCTGCCAAAGCAGGTAGTAGGCCAGCACAGAACATAATTAACTGCAGCTGTCTGGATTGTTGGTTGCTATGGCTTCAGCTTGTCTTTATTGGCAAATGATAAACTCAAGGAACAAATGCTTGTGAAAGGATGTCTGTTCATCCAGACTGAGAACAGGAGAAAATCAAGGAGATATGGGGTCCATTCTTCCTGAGGCAGAGCCTGGGCCTGGAGGATTGGGAAGAAGAACTTTCACACCCTTGGGCTGTAGGGGCTTCTGAAGCACTTCAAACAAAACTCTCCCTTTGTTCTGGGGCCATGTTAAAAAGTGTCTGAAGGTTGCCAGCTGCTCCTGCCTCCAAAGGAAAAAGAAAACATCAGAACACAGCAGCAGAAACTTTTGTGACTCCCTTTCCCCACACTGACCAGTTTTCCAGCTGTTCACACTACAAGAATCAATGTAAATGGATAAAGAAAAGGTTAAACTTACAGAGGAAAATTCAGCAGATCCAAGGATGACAAAGAATTACAGGGAATGGCCCCAGATGGAGACTTTCCCTTTTTATTTTTGGTGAGGCAATTGGGATTATGTGTCTGAGGCTAGATTTGAACTCAAGTCCTCCTGAATCCAGGGCCAGTGCTCTATCAACTGCACCACCTAGCTCCCTCACCTTCCCTTTTTCTCTCCAGCTTCCTGATGACTGCTGTGCCTGGTCCTGCTGCTGGTGCCTGTACCTGCCCTTCTCAGGAGTCTCATGGCCAGACACTGGGACCTGAGGTCTGGGATAGGGACAGGATTCAGGACAGTTCCTCTGTTACCCTTATAGTGCCCTCCCTTCTCTCCCAATTGCATAGGCCTAGGCGCAGAGACTTTCTATTTGCTTTCAGGCTCCGTGGGTGTGGATTTGCCAAATTTTGGCCTCAGGAGATGAACTTCCCAAAGACTTCGAGTCCAGATAAACCTTCCTAAATAATGTCTCTCTGGTAAAGACTTTAATTCTCTCTAACCACCTGTCTGCCTACAAGGGCATTAAAGGAATTAGTGTTGGATTAGTGTGGCCCATTATCCCCCATTCACTGGTCTTTGCCATCACCCTTGGGTACTTATCAGTCGTAGTTCCTGCAATTTAAAGAAGAAATGGTCCCTGTGGGTTACCTGGTTCATTAGCTCCATTCCTAGCTCTCACAGAACTTTTCTGAAAGTGGTCCTTGTGTTTTCTCCTGTTGGCTCAGCTTTCCACGGGAAATTGAGAAGAGCCTCAGATATTCCTAGATTCCAGGTGGGTATAGGGATGAGGCTTAGACTGGTAGGAGCCCTGATTTTAAGGTTCTTAAAGGGAAAAAGTATATACACGCACACACATACCTACCTATACACATTTATTCATTCACAAAATATACAACACAATATACATATATAAATACTGATATACATTCAATATAATATATATTCATACACACTTACATGCATACATATATTTCTACTTACATCAGGCACTCTTAACCTGGGATGCATGAATAAATTTTGTGGTTCTGTGAACTTTGCTGGGGAAAAATATCTTTGTTTTCAATAACCCCTAGCTGAATTTTAGTATTTCCTTCAATTATCAGAAAATTATTCTGAAAAGAGGAGTCTATAGCTGTCAGTAGACTACTGAAAACACTAATGGTACAGATGTACATGTATATTCATATATAAGCATGTATATGTACATATGGCCACATATAATTATAGAAATGCTATTTACACACATGCACACACACAGGTATGTATTCCTGAATATACATAACCACATACTATGTACTTGCCTCTATCACCATCTCTCTTTCAGGCTTGGTCAGTCATAGCCAACAGTAGAAACTGCCACTTGTCCTCTCCCTCTCTTTAGGGCCTCTGCTCCTCATTCTCTTGTCCTAATCTTTCCTCCTTCTACAACACCATCTTTAGGGAAGGGTCCCCAGTGACAGAGAGATAGGGTAATAAAGTCTGACATTGGATCTGCCCCTCAGTCATATGGTGATCAATAACACTGTATTCCTGGGAAACCTGCTTACAAGGTGCATCATGATATAGTGAATAGAGTGGTCCTTGATCCCAGAAGAGAGGTGGGCTTAAATCATGCCCCAACACTGCATTTCTGTGTGCCTATGGGCAAGTCACTTTCCTTGTTTTAGCCTCAGTTTGCTCTTCAGTCAAATGGAGGTCCCTCAATCAAGAAGTATTTTGTAAGGCACCTACTAAGATCCAAGAACTCTGCTAGTTGCTGGGGTTAAAGAGACAACACAGAAAGCAGTTTCTACTCTCAAAGAACCTACCCAAGAGTCAGGAGTAGATATGTTTAAAACTATGTATATAGATACGGTTCAAAGGTGGCATGGATAGATATGGTCTGATGTCAAGTCCATATCTGCAGAGATTAGGAGATGGGCCATCCTGCCTAGCTAGCTGGAGGTGTGGGAGGGACAGGCAGCTTCCAAGCCCTTAGAGACTGGGAAGTTTCTCCTTGAGCCTCAAAGATGAGTATTGATGAAATTATTTTTACTGTTGGCTTCTGAGTCAGAATGGACTATGCATTCGAAGAGCCCATTGTGGGGGAGGAGACAGAAACAGAGAGACAGAGAGAGAGGGAGAGAGAGGGAGAGAGAGACAGAGTCAGAGACAGAGACAGAGACAGAGAGACAGAGATAGAGAGACAGAAAATCAAGTTCTCTCTCTGGCCTGAATTGCACCACTCTCCATGCTCTAAGGAATGGGCCCATTTTAAACTATGTAAAGTGCATATTTAGGGCTAGTCCTTCCTGTTAGTTACAATCATTACTTGCTAAAAATGTTTTACAACTTTTTACCAAACTGCTCTTCTGAAACCCTTTGTAAAATGCGGATCATGAAGCACCCACCTCCCAGGGATATTGTGAGGATTAAATGAGATATTTGTGAAGTGCTTAGTACACTGTCTGGCATATAGTAGGTGCTTAATAAATGCTTTTTAATCACTTAAGAGTTCAAATCATAGGCACCAATATAAGAAGTGTGTGTGTGTGTGTGTGTGTGTGTGTGTGTGTGTGTGAAAGCACTTCTTAAGGAGGTGGGAAGGTGCTGCCTCTGTTTTGGGGGCAGGGGGCTCATTTCCTGGGCTCAGTGTCTGAGCATTTTGTTCTTAGCCTCAGGGTGATGTCTCCAGGGTGCTGGTGTGGGGAGTTTCCCTTGATTCACCCTCTGACTCTTGGTCATCTGCCATGGCCCTCTGCAGGACCACCCTGAGGGGCTCCCTCCTTCTTTTATGCCTTTGACTGCCCAGGAAGAAGTAAATAAAGGGGTTTGCACTGCTGTTCACACAGGCCAGGATCATAGGGAGCCAAAGAGGCTTGAACATTACGTCAAAGAGCAGCATGATAATTTCAATCCCAGGGGCCAGTCCACAGAGCAGGAACACAAGGACAGTGAGCAGGACCAGAAGGTAGAGCCTGGAGGGCTGCCTGCGCTGGGAGCTACACTGGACCCTCAGCAGCAGAGTCAGGCTGGACACACACAGCACACATGTGAGGAGGAAGAACCAGACGACCAGCACTCTGGGGACTGCATAACACAGATGAGAATTATACCAAGAAGTACAAAAGAAAAAAAGTGATAGCCACAGCAGGCTGGCCAGAGCCCAGAGGACAGCACACACTGCCGCAGACGTGTGCTTGGTGTGGTGACATCTGTACCAGATGGGGAAGAGCACGGCTACACAGCGCTGGGTGCTGATCGCAGCCAGGAGGCTCAGGCCCGCTGTGTAGGATGTGGATGTGACATAGAGCAGGCCCATGACCGAAAGTCTCAGATACTCAAGAAATCCATGGATGGAGAGCGCAAACTGTCCACAAAGGAAGAGGGTGTCAGCCCCAGCCAGGTTGAGGATGTAGATGGAGAAGGGGTTCCTGGGGATGCGGAAGCCCAGGAGCCACAGGACGAGGCTGTTCCCCACCAGCCCAACACTGACTATGACCAGAGAAAGTATCCGCACCCAGTTAACTAAATCAAATTCTCCAGGTACCTCAGTCCCAAAAACTCTAGTCTCATTTAGGATTGTCTCCCTTGCATTGCCAGAAACATATTTCCACAGCCCAGGTTCAGGGGACACAGCCATGGCGTTTGGTCCCAGCCCCAAGAAGCCCAGCTCCTCTCAGACGCCCTGGGGACACAAAGACAATGAAGTGCATCAGGGACTTCTCCAGAGATTTACTCCCGTCCCCCTTCTAAGGAGTTAGAGCCTCTTCCTCCCCATTCCCTCTCTAGGCTGCAGTTACATGAGCCCTGGACCTAGAGTAAGAAATGAGTTTAAATCTAGTCTGTAACACTTACTAGCTGGGTGACCTTGGACAAGTCACCTAACTTCTGTCTGCCTCAGATTCCTCAGCTGTAAAACAGGGCCACTAACAGCACCTTCCTCACAGGATTTTTGGGAGGACCAAATGAAGTAGTATTGGTAAGGTGTGCCTGGCACGTTTTTGTTGTTCAGTTGTTTTTTAACTTGTGTTGACTGTTCTTGACCTCATTTGGGATTTTCTAGGCAAAGACACCGGAGTGGTTTGCCATTGACTTCTCCAGTTAATTTTACGAATGAAAAAATTGAGGTAACCAAGGTGAAATGACTTGCCCAGTGTCACACAGCTAGTGTCTGAGGCCAGATTTGAACTCAAAAAGATGTATCTTCGTGACTCCAGGCCTAGCACTCTATCCACTTCACCACCTACCTGTGCCAGCTATGTGCCTGGTGCATAGTAGGTGCTTAATAAATTCTTGTTCCATTCTCCTCTTTTACCCTTTCTTCTGTCATGGTGTGGTAGTGGGGTATAGAGATGGTCCTCTTGGAGATGTCAGAGGGTACACTTGCCTCTCCTTTCTTCTCTGACTACACTCCAAACCACCCTTCCTTTTCCTCTCTCTTCTTTTGTGAGGCAATCAGGGTTAAGTGACTTGCCCAGGGTCACGCAGCTAGTGAGTGCCAATGTTTGGTCTGAGGCCGGATTTGAACTCAGGTCCTCCTCACTTCAGGGCTGGTGCTCTATCCACTGCGCCACCTAGCTGCTGCTTTTCCTCTCTCTTCTGCTCTTTCTTCAGACTGTAGAAGAGTATATAGAGCTAGGCTTCCTTCTACAACCCATGTGGCAGGCCTAAAGGTGGGGTGAACCATTTAATTCAATGCAACAGACATACATTTAAAAATTTATGTATGTATGTATGCATGCATTTATTTCATTTACTTATTTGTTAATTCATAAATGATTAAATCATTTATTTATTAATATTTTAAAATTTCTATCAATAAATTTTTCTTTCACATTATTTTTACTGTTCAACATACTGTCCCCCACCCAGAGTCAATTTTTAAAATCAAAGAATAAAAAAATGAAGAGAAAAAAATCCTTTACCACAACTAACCATCATATGAACTAAGTCCAACAGCGTACTACGCAGTGTTCCACATCCGTGGTCTCTACCTCTAGAAAGGAGGGAAGGAAATGCAAGAAGCTCTTTATCGGTTTTCTATGCCAAACTGCAATAAACTCTTGCTTAATACTTACTGTTTTGGGATGCTGGACCCAGGATAATTTGCACCCCTGGGCTTGGTGCTGGGAATACAAAGACAATGAAACTGTCCCTGCCCTGAGGCAGCTGATATTCTACTGAGAGTGGGTGGGGGGGGGGGAGGATGCAGCAGCAGGTGCTCACCTCTGCCAAAGCAGGAAATTGACCAGCACAGAACATGACCAACTGCAGGTGTCAGGATTGTTGAGCGCTGTGGCTTCAGTTTCTCTTTATTGAGAAATGCTGTCCTTTAGGGACAAATGCCTGGGGAAAGGTGGGTCTGTTCATCCAGACTGAGAATGGGAGAAAATCAAGGAGATATGGGGTCTACTCCCACTGAGCCAGAGCCTGGGCTTGAAGGATTGTGAACAAGAACTTTCACACCCTGGGGCTGTAGGGGCTTCTGAAGCACTCCAGAAGAACTCTTCCCTCCCTTCTGGGGGCCATATGTAAAAGTGTCTGAAGGCTGGGGGCTGCTCCTTGCCTCCAAGGGAAAAAGAAAACATCAGAAAACAGCAGCAGAGACTTCTGTGGCCCCCTATTTCCCAAACTGACCAGTTTTCCAGCTGTGCACATTGAAGCAATCAATGTAAATGTATGAAGAAAGAATTAAACTCACAGAGAAATCTTGAGTAGATCCAAGGATGACAAAGAATTACAAGGCCCCAGATGGAGAACTTCCTTTTTCCTCTCCAGGTTCCTGATGGCTGCTGTGCCTGGTCCTGCTCCTGATGCCTGTACCTGTCCTTCTCAGGAATCTCTTGGACAGACACTGAGGCATGAGGGGTGGGATAGGGGCAGGATTCAGGACAGTTCCTCTCTTACCCTTATATTGCCCTCCCTCTCCTCTGAATTACATGGGCCCAGGAAAAGAGATTTTCCATTTGCTTTCAGGCACCAAAGGTGGGGATTTCCCAAACACTGGAGATGAACTCCCCAAAGCCTTCAAGTCCAGATAAAGCTTCCTAAATGGTGTTTCTTTGGTAAAGACTTTGATTCTCTCTAACCATCAACCCGTACATAAGGGCATTAGAGGAATTACTGTTGGATTGGTCTGATCCATTATCTCCAATCTACTGGTCTTTCCATTATCCTTGCATAGTTATCAGTCATGGTTCCTGCAACTTAGGGAAGAAATGTCCCCTCTGGGCCCCCTGGTTCATTAGCTCCCTTTCTAGCTCTCACAGAACTTTTCTGAAAGTGAAATTGAGCATTCTCCTGTTGGCTCAGCTGCCCATGGAAATCCAAGAGCCTCAAATTCCCTTAGAATACAGGTAGGTATTGGTGTGAGACTTGAATGGGCAGGAGCCCTGGATTTTAAGGTTGTAATAAGGAAGAAAAGTATATCCACTTATTTATTCACAAAATGTACAATGCAATATGCAAATATGAACTTATAGGAATGTACATATACATGCATACAATATAGTATACATATTCTTTCCCACTTACATACATACATATATTTCTATTTTTGCCAGGCACTCTTAACTTAGGGTCCATGAATAGTTTTTGGATGTTCTATGAACTTGGAGGGAGGGAAATTATCTTTATTTTTTTTGTTTTTGTTTTGTTTTGTTTTGTTTTTTAGGCAATTGGGGTTAAGTGACTTGCCCAGGGTCACACAGCTAGTAAGTGCCAAGTGTTTGGTCTGAGGCCAGATTTGAACTCAGGTCCTCCTCACTTCAGGGCTGGTGCTCTGTCAACTGCGCCACCTAGCTGCCCCGAAATTATCTTTATTTTAACTGCCTAATTGAATTTCAGTATTTCTTTCACTTATTAAGAAATTATTCTTAAAGAGGAGGAGTCCATAGGCATCTTTAGCTTTCAGAAAATATTCTTAACACAAATATTCACATGTATATTTATAGGTAAGCATGTTTATGTACACATATTCTCAATACCACTAGTAATATTATTTATAAACATGCCACACATGTGTATACACAGATGTACTGCTGAATATATGTATTCACGTATGTATCACAATCTCTCCTGCAGGCAAGCAGAGATAATGATATTGGGCCAGTCATAATCAACAGCACACACTACCACTGGTCTTCTCACTCTCCTTAGGGTCTCAGGTCTTGTCCTTATCTTTCCTTCCTTCACAACATCATCTTTAGGCAGGGATCCCCAGTGACAGAGAGGTGGGGTGACTGTTCTCCAGTCATTTGGGATCTATAACACTGGGAAATACACTTACAAGGCACATCATGATATGATTAATATAGCAGTATGCTTAATCACAGAAGAGGTTTGCGCTCGCCCCAACACTGCATTTCTGAATGATTATAGAAAAGTCACTCTCCTTGCCTTAGCCTCACTTTATTCTTCAGTCAAATGTAGGTCCATCAATCAAGTAGGATTTTGTACAGCACCTGCTAAGAGCCAGGAATGCTGCTGGGGATAAAGAGACAAAACCTGAAGAAATTTTTCCTCTCAAAGAGTTTAGAGGTAGTGAAAACATGTGTATAGGTATGTTTAGAATGATGCATATATAGGCTATGCATATGTGTGAGTAGTGTAAATGTAGAGACATGGCTCACAGGGGGGCATGGATAGGTATGATCTGAGGTCAAATCCACATCTGCAGAGAGCAGGAGATGGGCCATCCTCACATTGCCTGCACACAACAAAGACCAATAGTGAATAGCAGGTAAGTCATTTGTCTCAGCAAAAGCCAGCAGAAATCAGAGAAGTTCTACAGATGAGAATATAGCAAGGAATGGCCTAGAGTCAGTGACCTCTTCTATTCAGAGAGAGATCAGGTCTCAGTTCCAATCAGGGGATAGAGTTCTCTCACCTAGGGGAAGTCTACTCTTAGCAGTCTCTAGGGCTACAAGCCTTGGAATTCAAGGGATGTGGTGGGCCAGGCTTTCACACCAGTTTCTAACTAGAAGGGCCTGAGTGTGCCCTTCAATCTCTATCTTTAACTACCCTCCTGGAGGTCTCTATTGACCTGTTTCCAATTACCTCATGTCTGTCTCTCATCTTAGGTATGAAACATCATGGCCAGCATTCTCTCATCAATTGAGGGCCAAGCATTTCTTTGAATATGCTGCACACAACACACAACACACAACACAGGCCTATCTTTTGGAGGTACCATTTAAGGGGGTCTTATGTTGAAACTAGATACAAGACAATATGAGGGTAGAAGGCAGTAGGAATTGGAGGATGACTCAGGCAGTCAGGGTTTGCTTGAACTGAGCCTTGAAGGACATGAGAGATTCTGAGGGATGGAGCTGGGGAGAGAGTGCATTTCAGGCCTTGGAGAGAGCACCACAAATGTGTGGGTGAGAGTGCTAGATATGATAAGAACCAACAGGAAGTAATTCTGGCAGTGAGTATAGAGAGGAGAGGCGATTGATAAAACTGTCAA